ACGTGAAAATATAATTTAATTCGAATTCTTCCCTTTCGGACAGAAAAGGATACTACGCGTGATTTGTTTCCTCACCATCTCGAATTACCCCCTACATATTTTATTATCCGCCGTCCCTGAATTTCTGACATTGATTATATATCTAAAAATATCAAATAAAAAAAATTATTTGTTAAATATAACTGATATATAACTTACCTACAGTTTTATTATTATTATTAATTTGGATAGCTTTTATTGTATATAAATTAAAATAATATTACTTATAAACAAAACTATAATATATATTACATTGCATGAAGTAAAATAATTCATTTAATTGTTACTAAACATTGTTAATTAAAAAATAATATAGAAACGTATATTAAAATCAGCCCACCTAAATAATAAATTAATTATATACCATATATACTTATATTTATTAAATTATATCAATTAAATACATATACAAAATACATCAATTAAATATAATCAAATTAGTTTTAAAAATAATTGATATTTTTTATGATGTAGCTTAACGTGGTATCATTTATACCGAACTTTATATATATACGTATAAGATAATATGGATTAAATATTTAAAATTAAAAAATCATTTATAGAAATGTGGGACTTAAAACTATTTTTTAAATTGGGGAAAAAAAATTTATTGTCAACCAAAGTAATACTAATGTTTAATAAAAAATGATATATTTAATCTAATATTACACAGGGTTGAAACTAACATTTTTAAAAAATAAAAGAAAAAGAAAAAAAAAAGGAAAAGGAAAAGTTGGCCAAAACGACGCGTACCGTGTGCGTCGGCGTCAGCATGTGAGATCGTCGTGCGGGGCTCTGGGCCTGTGACAGTTAAACCAGCATGCCATAATTTTCTCCAGAAGACAGCATTTGGGAGACTTTTCCCAGGAAATCTCTCTTAGATCCAAACAATACTTATGGCGACTAGAATTTTTTCTCTGCAATTCCTTCGCCTCCTCATGATCGCATCTGTATTCTTTAAACCTTCTAGCTCCTCCATAAGTTCGCCTAGTTCCATCATCAATCCTTCGAAAGTTAAACAAGTTTCATGGAAGCCAAGGTTCACTTTCTCTCTGTTCGGTTACTAAGCAAATTAATGAAATATATAAAAATTTTAATACTCTATCATACGTTTGTTTTCTTTTTGTTTATTAGTTTAATTAATGGATTTGAGGGTCTTTCTAGGGCGTTTGTGTACGAAGGTTTCCTTACGGACTTAGAATGCGATCACTTGATCTCTCTAGTGAGTGATTACTCGTGTTTATAATTTCACTTTCAACTCCGTTTCAGTTGAATTTCCAAAAAAAAAAAAAATTTAAGTTCACGTTATTTATTGGTAATGACTAATGAGTGTATTATTCTTGTTAACTTTTCGAATACAGGCGAAATCGGAGCTCAAGAGATCTGCGGTTGCGGATAATGTGAGTGGAAAGAGTAAGTTAAGTGAAGTTCGTACAAGTTCCGGGATGTTTATCCGCAAAGCCAAGGTTGCTTCTTTAATTTATCTTGTTTAAAGAATCTTATCTTTCCCTTTTTTGTTTTTGGTATTTTTTAAGTGTAGTTTGATTTCCTTGCCATTATTTGATATGTTATAGTCGTTGAAAGTTTAAAGCTTCGTCTAATAATCTCTTTCGGTGGAAATAACTTGAGATACAAGGGAGTTCTCCTCTGATGTACATATGTTGGCTGCTAAAAATAAAATCCTTGTTTTATATTCTATTTGCGTATTTTCTTTGGAAGAAATTGTAAAACTGTAAAGGAAATAGTAAAAGCATTAAGGTACAATCTTATCAGATGCAATGATATATTATGCTTTTTTTTTTATATCTTTTATGCTGCTGAGCTTGACTAAGTAGCTCTGTCATGATCCTTAGGATTGTACTCTAGATTACAGGTGGAGTCTAAAGGAAATAGTCAAAGCATTAAGGTAGACAATCTTATCAGATGCAATGATATATTATGCTTTCTTTTGATATCTTCTATGCTGCTGAGCTTGATTAAGTAGTTCTGTCATGATCCTTAGGATTGTACTTTAGATTACAGGTGGAGTCTGAAGGAAATAGTCAAAGCATTAAGTTAGACGATCTTATCAGATGCAATGATATATTATTCTTTCTTTTGATATCTTTTATGCTGCTGAGCTTGATTAAGTAGCTCTGTCATGATCCTTAGGATTGTACTCTAGATTACAGGTGGAGTCTAAAGGAAATAGTCAAAGCATTAAGGTAGACAATCTTATTAGATGCAATGATATATTATGCTTTCTTTTGATATCTTTTATGCTGCTGAGCTTGATTAAGTAGCTCTGTCATGATCCTTATGATTGTACTCTAGATTACAGGTGGAGTCTCTAGAATTTTGCATTCATTAGCTTTCTGCCAAGGAAGGATGCCATTTGAAAAGTTCGTCACGTTCAAATGAATATTTGCTGGATCTAATTTTTCTTCTCTACCAAATATCATTTTAGCATATTATGATAGTAGCATTTGTAATTTTCAATTTAGCAACAAATTTTTGCCTTCTACAGACTCAGTTGTTGGATGATTTGAGGATATAAGAAGCTTTTGAGAAGACACTGTAGTATTATATGTAAACAAGAGATTTGTATAGGTATGTATAGGAACACGAGCAACAAGAAAAGAAAATAACCAAAGAAGGCAATACTAAGCCGCGTAAGAAATATTGACCTCTGTAGGACTAGTAAGATAGATAAATAACTATAGATAAAAAGATTCTTGCTCACCCTCAAGCTAGAGCATATGAATTTGATTTTCAAAGTTTGTTATAATGAACTTAAGTTACTGAACTGTAGCATCTCTCAAGGATTTTGTTGACAAATAAGCTAGTCAGTCTGCTAACTTACATGTATAGTAACTATAGTTGAAACCACATTTTGTAAGAGCTTTTCTTCTAATAAAATGACAGTTATCCTCACTCTGTTTAGTACTCTCACGGAGAACTGAGTTTTAATTAATGTTGCTCGCTACCTGGCATTGCATAGTAACTCTATGAGTTGTGATTGTGATTGTGCAAACCCAAGTTCATGGAGGAAATATTTAGCGAAATCTCAGAAGAAATATTAGCCATAGACCTGTCAACACTAGATTTGATCTCACAACTTTAGTCTTACTTTTTCAAGACGCGATATTACCACTGACTAAGTAAAATACCCTGTAGTAGATTTTCAATTAGAAGTGAATCCAGCTCAATCGAGATCTGTATACCTCTAAATTAAGGTGTGTCAGTGGCTCGTTCAGAGTTACGTGCGGCATTGTGGACCTCTTAGACACCTCACAATTCAAAGAGACACAGCTACAAAGAGTGTACTTAACTTAATATGTATAACTTCAAAATTATGTTGCTGATATATCTCCGGATATATGACTTTATGTATGTTATGAAGAGATTGTACATGGGTATTTATATGGACACTTATTGCAATATATATAAATATCCTGAAGCAGGGAATATTAATCTACATGGAGTGCAACCTATGTAGGAAAACTAAGATAACGGAAAGAATTTTAATTCTCTAATTTGAGGAGGGGGTTAAGTAATGGAATGGAATAAATTATCAAACATAATTGGTAATTGCTTTTCAAACTAAAATACCAACAGGAACAAAGTATGCAATGTAGAATATCATACTTTGTTTGAATAGGACAGTAGTAGAAAGGGAATAAAATGTTTTACTTTGTTTGGATAGAGTTAGGGGATTATTCTTTAAGAAAGAATAAGCCAAATCTAGCTGCCAAAATTATTTTTAACTCTCATTCTCCTTCCATTTGTTCTCTCATAACTCCCGAGATGAGGTATTTAAGGATCTGGATGGCGGTGAAGTTTCATAACCATGTAATGTTCGAACCAAATTTCTAAAGGGAGCAACAATAATAATCATTAAAAAGAGTGTTAAGTGTAATTTTTTTTTCTATATTGCAATATCTTATATATACTACAAAAAGAGTGGTAAATTGTCACATTCGCTGACATACACACAACACAAAAGATATATTTATCAGAATACCTAT